TAGGGAATTCTATTCCCATCACATAGAAGTAAATTGTAAATATCCTCTCCTGAAAATAAATCCCTGACTTAAAAAAAGAATTATGAAACATGATGGAAACAACAGTTTATAGAGGGCAGGGGTAACTGGGATGATGAAGTTCAGCATTATGATTTAAAATATTGGGATCCATATAAGTATGCAGCTGTTATTGTAATGAAGGCATTTTCTTTCGTATTTCCTTGTCAGCATCTTTGAAATAGGGATCATTAGAGAATGCTTTATTTAGCTTCTCTATATGTCTATGGGCAAAGGAGAAAAGTAAAAATTCCCACAGAAAGTGTTATTCTTTAAAATAGAAAATTATGATTTGTCATTCACTGTGAACTCTATCTGTGGAATAAATCCATTTTCACCTGCTTACACCAAAAACAAAAAGCTGAAGTGAAGAAAACTGATTACATGATCCACACGCATTTCTAATAAAATAAGAATGTGCACTTTTTGACAAGCTTATTCATAATACATTCCGATAGAAAATTCCATTTGCCACTCCCGGTAGGAAAAGTAGGCTTTTAAAGGAAATCTTTTATTTCATGACTTTCACCAAAATAACAATTATAAGCAAAATAAGGAGAAAAGTATGTATTGTTTAATATCAGCTTAGGAACCTGTTGTGGAAGTTTGCAATCCAGTTGTTGCCCTGTGAATTGATTTGAAAAAATTAATCCAGATAATCCTTTCTGAAGATCACTGTTTCCAGGATTGGTTATACAGAACAAAGGCTAACTGATAGCCCCAGGAGATTAGTTTACAGTGATGCTCTATTCTGCTGAGAATCACTCTCCAATGGCCACTTTTTACTTCTTCCCAGGCTATGGGAATTCGTTAATATCTAGAGAATAGACTTAAATAAAACCATTGTCTCAACCAGCAGGTTTATGCAACCATCCTGAAATGTTTTAATTATTGTTTTCTTTTCCTTTTTAATTAAGAGACCAGAGGTCAAGCAAGCCCACTGAGAGCTGATCACAGCCTCTGTAGAAATTTAAAGGAAACCCTAATGATTGGATGTGCTGTTTTCTCTTTTGTTTTGCAGAACCCGAAGAGTGTGTTAATTGCACAGATGAATGCCGAGTGCTTGGTCATTCTGACAGGTGTTGGATGCCACAGTTCCCTGCAGCCAATCAGGCTGAAAATGCAGATTACCGCACAAATCTCTTTGTACCCACAGTGGAAGCTAACGTTGAGACTGAGACTTATGAAACTGTGAATCCCACTGGGAAAAAGACTTTTTGTACATTTGGAAAAGACAAGCGAGAGCACACTATTCTCATCGCCAATGTTAAACCTTATTTAAAAGCCAAACGTGCCCTGAGCCCTCTCCTCCAAGAGGTCCCCTCAGCATCAAGCAGCCCAACCAAGGCATGCATTGAGCCTTGCACCTCAACAAAAGGCTCCCTAGATGGTTGTGAAGCAAAACCAGGAGCCCTGGCTGAAGCAAGCAGTCAGTACCTGCCCACTGACAGTCAGTATCTGTCACCAAGTAAGCAACCAAGAGACCCTCCCTTCATGGCCTCCGATCAGATGGCAAGAGTCTTCGCGGATGTGCATTCCAGAGCCAGCCGGGATTCCAGTGAGATGGGTGCTGTTCTGGAGCAGCTTGACCATGCCAACAGGGATCTGGGCAGAGAGTCTGTGGATGCAGAAGAAGTTGTGAGAGAAATTGATAAGCTTTTGCAGGACTGTCGGGGAAATGACCCTGTGGCTGTGAGAAAGTGAGAAAGAAAAAAAAAAGGCATTGGCATTTTCTTATCTCTTCTGTTGATTTAAAAATGATCACTTCTGGTGACACCCATTTTACAGGGATGAAGGAAGACCAATGCTGCTTTAAGGCTTTTAGTGAACATCTGAAGTGCCCACAAGTATGTTCTTTTCACTGCTGTTTCTTTTTCAGATATAACAATGGTTCTGTTTTGACCAAACTTATATTAGGACAGAAGTAATGATGCTTAAAGAGAAAAGAAAAAAAGAGAGAGAGAGAAGAAAAAGGAGAGAAGAACAAGGAGGATGAGGAGGCGAGTTACCTTTTGACAATCTGTTAGGAAGGTATACAGTGTGAAAAAGTGAAGTATTTCTGATCACTCTGACTGTCCTCCGTGATTTATGCTGACTTAACTGTTTACCTATAAACCCCCTACAGAGCAGGGTCATAATTTGTGATCTGTGGCGGATTTCTAGCAGTGATCACAGGCTTCTACTGAAAGTCCTAAAAAGACCTTGCAGTAGTCCAAGCTACACCAAACATTAACACATATTTGTGGTAAACATTTCTGTATAAAGTTAACTGCCACACATATAAACACAAAGAACATTCCATATCATTAGTCAAAAGCAAAACAAAAACAAAAACAAAAACAAAAAAACAAACAAAAAAAAACTTGGTTGTTTGTAAGACATCTCATGTCGTATAAAGTTAAATGTAAAAAGATATAGTCCATTTTTGTCCTGCACACACGTAGACTAATTCACTTCATTAAAGGAGAAGAAAAATTAAAGATTTAAAATGCCTATTTAGCATTTTAGTGTCCAACAAAGATATCAATACTATAATGATACGTATGTTTTAAATCCGACATAGAAAAGTTCTGAAAAAGACTTACCATGGAGTGGTAATATTCAGAGAAAATCAACATGGTTAATATGTTTAATTCATTTTTTGGACACTAAAATAGCTCAGGAAAGTGAAATTGTCTTAGACATACACAAATCACATGACCATTTAAATGTGCAAATGTAAGAAGATTCAATGTGTTTACATCAAATGACATATTTTTTATTGATTTATTGCAGATTCAGTGCATATGAGCCAAATTGTTGAGTGTATAAGAGCTATATTGTGTATTTTATTAAATTAATATATAGTTGTGTTGCAAAAATATTTGGGCTTATATTGTAAATGGCAAGTGTTGCCTCGGTAGCTGTCGAACTCTATGAGTTTTGTTTTTTCCTGCTTCCTTTTCCCCATGGAGTGTGGGAAGCAGTGCCTCAGAGCAAAGTCTCTCGTTTAATGTATAGTCTACCAAGTACTACAGTACATAATCTGTTCAAAATGTGTTTGAGTGAGCTGATGGAGCTAACTGAAAGGTCAAAAAATACATTCGTCAGTCATGGTTATGTGCAAGTCCTTGTAGAAGCTTTTATTAAAGTCATGCTAAATCACAAGAATTACATTTGTACCAATACTTGAAACCTCTTCATTTTTTTTTCCCAATAACATAACAGCTTCTGCCTATGTAGATATCATATCATTAGTTGGTTCTCAAAAAAAAAGTATCTTCCGTGGTTCAGATGTATGTTCCCATGATATTTCAAACACATGAAAAATGCTTTAATGCATGTATGGTACCAGCACTGGTTACTTGCATTGTGTAGTGTTTTTCAAGAGGTCTGGGTCTTAACAAAATGCTTTTTCTTTATCTCAGTGCTCCTCTGCCTCTTTGTATTGGCGTCCTTTGAGAACAATACACCTTCTATTTCTTCTTTTGGTGGCACCTTTTCCTGTGACATTTAGCAAGTTTCAAACTTACTTCCATAAGAGGCTAAGAAGCCTCAAATTTCAGGAATTGGGAAAAATAAAATTAGCACTTGCAGAAGTAGCAGCAGATGGGGAAATGCCTTGATTGACATTTTCCTTCAGCATTTAAAATCTTTGGCATTTTACAGCTTCATTACAAACAGTTTCAAACCCATACCTTAGAAAATGTGGTGCTGAGTTAAATAAAGGCTGTTTGTGCACTGGAGCAGGAAAATGCATTATTTGCAAACTGGTGAAGAATTCTGTGCCTTCTTTTCTGGCCACCAAGTCAGTGTAGAAACAGCATAAAATGTCATAAAATCCTTATATTAAAAACAAAAACAAAAGCAAAAACAAACATTGAACTAAATTCAGTTTTGTCATATTAAATTTGGAAAAATTCTACTGAAAATATTTCCGTCCAATGCCGTCGTCAAGATTTTGGACTGTACTTTGTTTGCAAGACTACTTTGAGAGGGAAGGGTGGACAACTCCCATCAGCCTTATTCTCTTGAGAACTGTATTTGGTTCCTAGTAACAGCCTTTCCAAAGCTCTACTCTTGGTTTTTATTATTCGTAAATGTTTAAATTAGAAAAGAAGGGATCTTGTACATGTGAAACCTAATTGACTCTTTATATTTTGGACAACTTATGTATCTGAAATGTGTTTGTCTCTGTTCTATGATGTTATTTTCGCCAGGAGACTGACTACAGGTTGATTTAGCTTGATAGCTGAAATTTGATGGAAAACTGACTCCATTTAGTCTTACCAAGTGTTGCCTCTCTCTTACTAGACAGATAACCACTTAGTAATATCTAAAGCAGTATGTAAATGAAATCTACAAAGAGAGTAGGGTTTATTTTTAAAACATTCTTAACGCTAAGTAGCCAGTTGTTCAACTTATTATATGTGTCTGAAGACATTAAAACACCGTAAGATTTAAAGAATTGGTTGTGCCAATGTACGAGGGATTTACCTTTAGGCTCTCTGTCACCAGTGATTTACTAGTGTTAGCTCTTTAACACTTCATCTGTATTTAGTAGTGATTATTTATTTACAAGTAGGTGGTAATTCAGCAGTCAGGATGCTTATAGTTGAGTTGAGGGAATCTCGCTTTTATTCATTTGGCTGGCAACTGCCTTTCTTACAGACCCCTGGTGCTAGGCTTCCATGGAAGCCTCTGAGATGCCAAAATCATACCTATAGGGAGCAACTTGCTGTAATTGGTGATGCATGATTAAACAGTGAGTTGTAAAGGGGTTTCAGCATAATTTAAAATTAAAAGAAAATGTCACAATTATCACCTTTCAAATATTAGCCCCTCAAAAAAACAAAACAAAACAAAACAAAACAAACCCCCCCCCCACAGATTCACATTCAAATTGAATGATTTCATATTACTTTCTTTTTTAGGCCCTTAAATAACAAGTCTAGCACAGAAAAAGAATTCATTTACGAACATTTTAGTAAGAAATCCAAAGTTCTAAACATTGATTACTGAAACTAAAAATTTAAAAATCAGTTACAAAATAATCTTTTCATTAAGATGAAAGGGATGAAAACTCTTTTCATCAAAGTTAAAAGTAGTGAGAATCAGTGTGAGTTATAACTATACCAAAGTAAACATTAAAGAAACATATCACATAATTTTGGAGAATGCTTTCATGGTATTTCTTCACCTAACACGCTTATTCCACATTGCAGGTAAAACGCAAAGATTGGCTTACTACTCCATAAATTAATCAAATTCCTGGTTGGGAAATTGACTTGTTTTGTTTTCGAAAATTAACCGAGATCTCGTAAAACATGACTTCCCTTGAAAGGATCTAGACACTACTCAGTTTAAAAGATGGCTCCATAAAAAAAGTCATGTAGTAATACATCAGTATGCTTTATCAGAACCAAGTTAAAAGCTGTTTGTTGTCTAATGGGGTAGAAGTTGCTGAGGTCAACAAATAAACTGAGGTCTGGCATAATATATGCCCACTCATTACTGTCTAATTATGTTCTTTTGACAACAGACAGCATTTATCAGAGCATTAATTCAAATGAGAGTTTTGGCTATCAAGATGTGTTGATTCGAAACATAATTGAATGAGACCTGATTAAAGTCTGACTTTCCTGGCCCCAGTGTTTTGCAGGGTGGCTATTCCCATTCATCAGCCCCATCACTCCATAAGGTTCTTAGCTGCACCAAGTGATTGGTGAACAAGGACAACATCAACAAAAGCAGCATACGTTGTATGGATTTATCTCAACGCTATTGTTTAATGGCTGTGTTTAATGTGACCTATCTGGAAATGAGGACTCCGAATAAAAAGCTATTACTAATAGTGGCGTTGCTTTCCCTTGAATTCATTAACACAGAAGTGAAGTGTTACACATTGTATACCACAGGGACCCTAATTATTTTGAAAAAGCAACGGTGGCATCACATCTGTTTTGGCTAGTTATATGTTTGCTGGTAAAATAACATTATTCAAAAATTGACTTAATGATTTCACTAGTTTCTCAAGTGGAATGGATGAACCATCTTTCAAGTAGTTTAGGAAAATTGGCTAGTCAGATTATGACCATGGGTCATAGACTAATGAGACCTGTGGCTTTTAATATATATAATTGGTATAAAGATAATTTGGTGTGAGATCTCAAAGGATTTCAGAAAAGTCCATTTACAAGCCCTCTTAGAAGCTTCTATGACTGATGAATGCACGTTTATAAATGGGATTTTAAAATACACACCTGTTTATCATGGCATTTTAAAATAATCTGCCTGGTGGCCCAGGGTCTGGTGGTTATGTGAGCTGGATCCCACACGGCGTCTGCTATGTAGCTTGAAAAACCCAGTGGGGACATATCCCCAAGTGCCCAAGCTTGCTACAAGAGGAGAGGTGAAGGAAAAGGACTGTGGTGTGACCATACCCCATTGACGAGTGCTCTCTACCTGTCTCTGTCTCTGTGTCTCTCTCTCTCTCTGGGAAGTGTGTGCTTTCTGGCAAACTTAAAAAGTTATAATAATCTGCCTCTGTTTTTACTCAGCTATTGCATTTCCACCGTGTGGGTATACCTTGGGCTAGTATGCCCCTGAGATAAACACTAAATAAGGAATGATCCATGGGTTACAATCTGGTAGGAGAAACTAGGTAAGTTCTAGTATATGTTACTCTTTATAAATTAGATTCGGTGGTTTGCATTTTTCCCAGTTAATCCACACAACTCATATATCTGCTTTCTTGCTCACAGTGGTGGTATTCTCTCAATTACAATCCAACATAATATTCTTTCTGTCTGTTTAGATTTTACTTTCCTTCTGGCAGCATAAAATATATCAAGAAGAGTACATTACTTTTCCAACTTTAAAGTCTTAATGGGTTAGCCTTTTTAGTGTAGACTACATTTATTTGCCTTTCTTCTTTTCTTTTCTAGCAGCGTTTAGCTGTGAAATACTGAACAAGGTCCTAAGCTACAAAGAAAAAAATCGATCATTACCATTAACATA